TATTGATCTCGTCATCCCTAAAAGATAATAATGAAGGTTAGATGAAATGTACGTTGGTGCTCGACAAGGGTGGTCGGGTGCTAGTCATGGCCCTCCAGTTTGGGTCGTGACAGCTAATAAAATATCGTCCACGTAAAGAGAAAGAATTACAAACATCCCATTGGACTTCTTCACATAAATGCAATGGTCTTCATCGATCATGGTGAAATCATATGAGATCACCTCCTTATGAAATCTCAAATACCATTGTCTTAAAGATTGCTTCAGGCCATAAATAGATCTTTTCAATTTACAGACCTTCTTGTCTTGGCCTTTAACGATGAAGCCTATAGGTTGTTCCATGTAGATTTCTTCGTTTAGTTCTCCATTGAGAAAAACTGGCTTCACGTCCATTTGATGTAATTCCAAATCCAAACGTGCAACAATAGCCAAAAGTAAGCGAATTGAGGTAAACTTCACAACTGATAAAAATGTTTCCTCATAATCTATTCCAGCTTCTTGAGTATAGCCTTTTGCCACCAATCGTGCCTTGTATCTTTCTATTGACCCATCCGCTTTGCGTTTAACTTTGAGAACCCATTTGTTCCCAATGGCTCTATGCCCAAGAGAAAGATCAACTAGATCCCAGACTTTGTTGGTTTTCATGGACTCTAATTCTTCTTTCATTGCTTTCATCCACTCATCTTTTCCAAGGCTCGATAAAGCCTCAATCACATACTTTGGCTCATCCATTTCCGTGGGAGATACCAAGAAAATATAATCTTCAAATTAATAAGTACGTTTAGGTATATTTTTCCTGGTACTCTTTCGTAGTTGGAATTCAGGTTCGTCAGAAGGATTTCGGGATTGAGAGTTCCCACTCCCACTCGGATTAAGAATAAGATCTTGATCAATTTGATTATCAACTGTGTCATAATACACTTGCTGACTATTTGAGTTCAATATTTCATAAAGAGGCTCTACATTCTTTACCTCGCCCTTCTTTGGAAAATCATTTTCCAAAAATGTGACATCTCGCGATTCAATCTCTGTAACACTTCCATCCTCTAATTCACCAATGAACACATACCCTTTGGAGTGTTCTGAATATCTTCTAAAAATATATTTCTTACCTTTTGGACCTAATTTACCAAACTTGCTAAAAGAATCTTTTACATATGTAACACAACCCCAATGTTGTAAATCCTTTAAGTTTTGTTTATGATCAGTCCATAGCTCATAAGGCGTGGAAGAAACTGATTTAGAAGGTACTTTATTCAATATATAAGTTGCAGTCAATAACGCATCTCCCCAAAAGGAGATAAGTAAATTCTACTGCGCCATCGTGGACCTTATCATGTCCAGTAGTGTTGTATTCCTCCTTTCTGCTACACCAGGTGTGTATGAAATAGTTAACTATTTGGTGATTCCCTTTTCATAGCACAATCCTTCAAATTCTTTTGAAATATACTCACGCCCTCTATCGGTTCTTAAGGTCTTAATCCTTTTGTCTAATTGATTCTCAACTTCATTCACATATTTCTTTAAGCATTCAAGTGCTTCATATTTATGAGAGATCAGATAGACATAACCAAAGCGTATAAAATCATCAATGAACGTAATGAAATATAAAGCATCAGACCTAGCCTTCACATTCATTGGACCACAGATATTAGAATGAATTAATTGCAATGGAAAATGAGCTCTCTTAGCCTTTCCAAATGGTTTACATGTAATCTTTTCGGCAAGACAATTTTCACAAGTTGACATTTCAATTTTAGAGAAAGGACCTAGATGTCCTTCCTTAGCCAATCTATTCATTCGATCCGACCCTATGTGACTTAATCTTGCATGCCATGTAATAACTTTAACATCATTGTTACTAGAATCACATGCCATAACACAACGGTCAACATAATAGTTATACGTAGAAGGATTACAATCTAACACAATAAAACCATTATAACGATGTCCAAAACCATAAAAACATTGTCTTGAGTAATTCTAAGACCACTGCGACTAAAGTTCAAATTGAAATCTAAATCTAGAAGAACAGACACATATTCTAAGTCTCGTTGAATCTCTAGAACATATATGACGTCATGCAATATCAAAGATTGGCCACCACGCATGTCCATTCTGCAAGTGCATATCCCTTTGATTTCAAGCTTTGCATTGTTTTCCACATATACATGCTTTGATCCAGGTGGAACTCGACGAATCTCTATAAATGCTTCTCTATCGCGGCTCACATGGTTGGTGGCCCCTAAGTCTACAATCCACACAAGATAAGATTCGGTTAGTAAAACAGTGCTAGAAACATATATAGCACTAAGAGATGCGCTTTGAAATGCTACCTTTTTCAGCTTAGTGCACTCACGAGAAAAATGCCCTGGGACTTGGCAATTATAACACTTCATCTTGCTCTTGTCTTTCTTCTTGTAGAACCATTTTCCTTTCTTGGAATTTGGCTTGTTTCTTTTCGTGGAGGGTCCTTCTTCGGTCTCCTTACCCTTTCTGTCATTTTTCCAGTTTCTCTTGCGCTTGAAGCTTAATTTCTTTGTACCACTTGATTATGCCACAAAGGCATTAGATACAGCTTTAGCATCACCAAGACGCTCGTCTTCAAGCTCCACATGACGGGCAACTTCAGCAAAAGTTTTGATGCTATCATTGTGGATCAAATTAACCTTCAAATGTTCCCAATTATTGGAAAGACCGAATCACTGCCTGAACCTGCTGCTCATCAGAGAAAACATGGCCAGCGCTTTTGAGTTGAGCAATCATATTTGACATCACCCTTAGATGTTGCTTAAAATCGTGATCATGACATTTTTTGTACGTGTCAAACTTGATTGTTAGTTGTCGAAGGCGAGTCACAGTCGTACCCCCATATGTCTCTCTTAAATGTGCCCACATGGCTTGAGAAGTAGGATATTGCTCACATTCATGGATGAGATCATCAACAACTGAACGTACAATAATTCCACGTGCAGTGGAATCTTTTTTTTTCTAAACATTGTAAGTTTCCAGATCCCTCCTATGTTGGGCAATGTTACCCTCCCCTGCGTGACTCATAACATGGTTAATACTTTCAAGAGCATCTTGCTCTTTGAGTACATACCACATCTTACGACTCCAAATATCGTAGTTTTCATCATTCAGTTTGTCACCTTTGTTCAAGTCGGCAATGATACTTTTTGATGTCATGTCTGTTATTAGAGATAATTTTACAAGTTTAACTCAACAATATATACTTCAGTTAATTTATGCATGTGATTACACACTCAAGAAAATTAATTATAATATTAATTCTACATTTAGTATAGAATCGAACGGTCACTACATTTCCATTCATCATCTATATCTAAATATTTTTAATTAATATTAAAATTAGTTCTTAGTGTGTACTTTATTTCAAGTCTCAATCCATTACAAAAAGATATAATAAACAATGTATGTAATTAGTGAGACAAATAACATAATATAAATTTCATTAAGATAAAATACATAATAACAATTTACATGTTTGCTAGGACATCCATATATACCAATCGAACACTAACTCTTGCTCATATATGCTAAAAGGTGCACTAGGCCAAACATCTTGATAAATCTCAGTTAAAATTTTACTCCAAGGCACTCGAAAAGAGTCCGCTAAAATAGCTAATGCTTCCCAATCAGTAATTTGTATATAATTAGCCAATTCAACTCTTTTTATCTTAATAAGGTGTACATGTTCAAGAATGGAAACATCAGGACTCATTTTAAATTCCTTAAACTCCTTAAATTTCTTTTCTCTTCCCCTTCGTTCAGCCCTTCGATCCCTTAACTCATTTTGTCTCGCCCTTGGGACATTCCTGATGACTTCGGGCTTCGAGTCTAAATCATTACAGAAGTAAGTGTCACACCTTCTTTTTACTACACCCTCCGGAAAGAGTGTATAAGGGAGTTTTTTCCAATTTAAGTGATAATCGAAACGGGGTTATTTTATTTAAAATTCAGAGTCGCCACTTGGGATAATTTTATGGTGTCCCAAGTCACCAGTTCGAATCCCGAATTGAGGAAAAGATTGACTCTGTATTATAGTCCGCAAACACAGAAATCCGGGTAAGGAATTCTGTTAACTCAGGAGAAAGTGTTAGGCATTCCCAGGTTCCGTGGTTCTAGCACGGTCGCTCAACTGTTATAATTGGCATATTATCTGATTTTAACACATGTTTTAACCCATGGTTCAATTTTAACTTTATAAACTCTTTTATTTAATTGTTTTTTTTTTAGGAAAGATTCAACGTCATCTAAAACGCATCTTGAACCACGTCACGTAAATGCACCTGCGGTCCACGATACATTTTATCTAACGTTGTTGAGATTTGGATTTGGGTCACATAAATGTGCACCCGAATTTGGATATTATTGTATCATGACTATGCCACGGGAACCGTACCCATAGCCACGATGATTTATTATTAAACGCGCCTAAAGCAGACTAGGATGTTCATAATTATTTATTTTCTAAGTTTGAGGATTGTCGAGAAGATCGCAAGTACTGGGAATCATTTGTGGATGAAGTGTACATTAACTATTGGAATTTTTGACAAATCACCTTCATTCATAATTTTAAAACTCAATTATGTCACCTAACAAATTGACAACAAACAAATTTTTGAATAAAACTAAGACAGTAGGAGCAACCACTACCTTTCAATAAATTCATTCTTAAATACTCAATGTCCCTTAAACTCTAAGATTAATAGAAATTAAATATGCGTCTAACAATTATATCTATTTGTAACTAGGATCAAAATCAAACCAACAAAAGATTAAAGCATCATAGGGCAAATGGAAAGAAAATCTTAACACTCAAATTATTAATAAATGGCCAAAATGTTTTAAACCTAAAGCGAAACTTTACAGCAAACTTAATCAAGAAATTATACCAACTCACCAAGTCAATAACACCCAAAACAAAGAAAAAGAAAGAAACAGAAAGAAAAGGATTAGCTTTAAATCAACCAAGAGAACTAACCAATTTCCCTCGCCCACTGCCGACACACTTTGCCTTCAAATTTAATTTCTCGAACATGATTCTCACTGGGTATAATTCTTATGGTAGAATGGGCTTTCCACACAGTGAATGAAAGGAAAGTGTCTACTCAAATTTGGCTAGGCATCGATTGCACAAGCCTCTAAAGTGTCAAAAAACATTCAGCTAGACCCTGCTCTTAGCTAATGACTGAATCAAGAAGTTGAAGCGGTCAAATAAAGACAAAGATGAAGGAGGGAGCTCGGCTAAACAGTTCTTTATTGATTTTCCACTTAAGAAGTCTTACAGCAAAATTGCTTACAAGAAAATGGAATCGTCTAACAACAACATTAAAAACCGACGGCCCTCGACTGGAATTTCATGACTTCAGACGACATACTAGACTTCAACTTTAGTTGGGGAGTTATACGACATTGGGGTGGGATTTATGTGATTGAAGAATGGAATTGCAGGCATGTTTTTGGAATTGGGGGGTCAATGGTCGTTTTTGTGCGATGTTTAATGAAAGATATTGAAGGATCAAACTTTTGTTTCTTTGACAAATGGAAGTTCCTCCCTAAAAGGCTGCCATTCTTTTTAGGGTGTAGGTCTTTTATATAGGGGTAGGGATTGGGTTAGGAGTATGGGCGTAGGAATTATGGGCTAGGGAATTTGGCCAAAGACTAGAAAAATAGAGTACAAGATTTATAAAGACGGGATAAACCAATCCTAAAACTAATTCATCCTTCTAAAATTATGTACAATTATAATATAAAAATTAAAATTAATTTTAATTAATTGAACTAAACTATAAAACATAAAATCATTTTTTGTGTTTTCAAGATTATATAAAAATAAAGATAAGGTACTATTTTTGTATATATTTTTTATTTAAATTTACGAAAAATACGTAAACTAAAATATTTTTTTGTAATTTTTATTTTTAGTGATAAAATAAAGCAAAAGAGTAAAAATGAGTTTAAATAGTTATATTAAGCCTAAATTAAATATTTACGTGCTAAAAAATAAAAAATATTTGGGAGGGTCAAAAATCACATGTCTACAGTAAGTCCTGCGACGACGTACCCTTCTACGTTGTCCCCTCCCTTGACTTCGAGAACTCCCACTTGAAGTAATTCGAACTTGTCCCTGTTCAGCCATATTTGAAATAGGACCAAGGAAACAATAAGAATGGCTACAACCATCCAATGTGACAGCATATATCACAATTACTTGTAGAAGTATATTAATCGAGGGATTAAGACTAAACTTATTTTTAATATTAAGAGACAAGCTTAGGGATTTAGACTAAATTTGTTAATAGAAACTAAATCTGATTCTATTCTTCAACTTTGCAGCCACAACCAATGGTATTAACAACACTTACTTGTCTACCAACAGCAAACCAACATTAGTTACATAGGACCATTGAAAATCTGTAACTTTAATGAGATCTTCTATTTCTATCTTTCTTACTGTTCTTAAAACAAATAGGTTGACATAGTAGCTGCAATGAATACTATTGTCTTTTCCTTTTTCTAGTTATTTTAGGGGCAATGATTCAGAAAGCCATATCATTGATTTATTCTGTTAACTATTAACTTGAACAATAAATGGCAAAGATCAGATCACAATTTCATATATTTTAAAGTTAAAGTCTCACTTACTTTAGCATCAAGTAAGTAGCAAGATTCTTTTTGTCCCAACACAAAATTAATATTAAAATAGACATGATGCAGATTTTTAGGAATTAATCATGACTTTAAAAGAAATCCATTAAAATAAACTATACTAATATGGAAGTCACTCCAATCACATCGATTGTGAAGCCTTACTTTAAAGTTTAGGAGACAGTAATTTATCAAAATACTGTTATCCTAATTTGGTATGAAACCAGTATAAACAAAAAAAAACTGCAAAGGGAATTACTTTGAAACAAGCAAAAACTTAAGCAGAAACTTTTTTTTTGACTTGGAAACTTTTAAAGGGAGAGGCTCATATGCGCTATTCTATTGTCTGATTGTCAGACTTGGTGAAGACCCAAATTCTAAGTGATTACGAGAAGTTTGGATCAAAATTGAAACTTGTCATTGGAAACAATTAGGAGGAAACAACGTAGGCTCTGATACCATTATTAGTTAAATTTGAGTAACAGGAACAAAGAATTTGTGTACCTGTTAACAACAGCGGAAGATTTTTGCAGAATCTATTTCAATCAATTGCCCGAATCTGATTTCGTCTCTCTTGAAAATAAAATTTTTGTTCACGAATTAAATACCTTTTTCTTTCTTTTACTGTGTTTCTATCTTTGTAGAGAGATTAACGCAATGTTTTTTTTTCTCTGAAGAAGGGAGCTTTGATTTATAGATAGGGAAAGTTGTCAGAGGAAATAAAAACTACCGTGAAACTAACCCACGTTCATCCCCACGCTCTCCTTTACTTCTCAACGTGCGGTAGTTTTATTTTAGGAGTTAAACCTTCCCTATAACTTCCCTCAATTATATCTCCTTTAAAAATAGGCCGGGTCAGTCCATATGGGCGATCCACGACCCAACTTTAATATCCAACACTTTGCACATGAGAGATTTATTTTACACGTAAGAGATCTATTTTTTACACATAAAAGATCTAAAAAGGTTATTTTTTTAAATTTAAATTTGTTAAGGGGCATGATATACAAAAAGCAGTGTGAGTTCATTATATTATTTCTGGAGTGTTACCTTAATTTTTCACGAATTCATAATATACATACAGTCAAATAAATGAAACAAATAACTTTGTATAATCCCTTTAAGGGGTCGTTTGGTAAGGTGTATAAGAATAATGCTGAATAAGGTGCATTAGTAATGCATGTGTTAGTAATGCAAGCATTATCTATGCATATGTTATTTCTTATGCATTGTTTGGTGTGGTGTATTAAAAATTAAAACCCATGGCATAATTTTAAGAAAATTATTTGTTACAAAAATGCCCTCTATATTCTTTAGTTTTAAAAGATTTTAAGGATAATTTGGCCTTTAACCATGCTAATGCATGCATTAATAGCAATGATATTGCTAATACGATGATTTACTATGCATTAGCTATAGATACGATAGTACCAAATATAATGTATGAGTAATGCTTATATTAATTATACATAAATTAAAAATATTATTAATACATAAAGATAATACATGCATTATTAGCAATATACTGTCAATGCATATAACTTAAATGGAAAACAAAACAAAAATAGGAAAAGTTGAAACCGAGTACAAAGAATCCCGTCATGTCGACTGAGGCCGCCACCACCACCGTCTCCGCCGCCTCCAACCGCCGTTCATACCGGTGCTACAACTGCAACCACGCTTTCCACATCACCACCACCACCTCCGCCGCCAGATCCTCCTTCCGCTGCCCTCGCTGCTTCCATCGCCACCTCCTCCCTAATTACACCATTGCAACTTTTACTCCTCCTCCTCAACCTCCTAACTCCAATTCTACCCCCCCAACCGCCGTCGCTACCAATTCCATTACTACTTTTTACTCTTCCGATTCCGATTCAGATTGGACTGACAACAACTCCGATGATTTTT